TGCATGGATGAACGGACGGATGGATGGATGGCTGGAGTCACTGGGGAGACATGAAACGGAGGAATGGAGATGGGAAGGAGGGAGGAGGAGCGGGAGCAGGGAAGCAGATGAAATCTGGAGGGGAAAGACGAAGGTGTATGAAGAAAATCTGAAATAAAAGGAAGAGTATAGGGAGATTAAAACGGAGAGGATAAAGAGAGGGATGGATGGAAGGAGAGGGACCATGTGGGACACAGGACATGGAGGAAGGGAAGGAGGGAGAGAGGGCTTGGGCGGTTTGTGTTTGGAGGCCGGGCAGTGTGATGGCAGATATCTGCACCGCGCATGGTCATCTCAGATGGTTTATTTATCCAAGGCCTCCAGACCAGGCCTCGGACCTCCCTGAGTTTGTTAGGCTTGAAGGGGCCCCCTACTACACAACCCAATTCCTCACATTCCACATTAGCTCCCATTTCCAGCTGCCTGTTTCCCTCTACCACTCAACCCGACCCAACCCAGTTCAAGCAAACTATACCCAGTTCCAGCGCAGCAGGAAAGAAACAGGCCGGCCAGCGTCACTCTAACGTACGGTCGCCTCCATTCGGACGAGTCGGTGTATATGTGGGTGTATCAGTCAAGTGCCACAGAGCGCTGTGGTGTGGTGGTAAAGGAGGCGTTAACAACAGCATCTGTGGTCCTACGTTCCAAGTCAACAGATAGACTGATACAGTCAGTGGATACATCCTGTTCTAATCAAGATATAAGAAGAGATCTGAGGAGAGCACGTATGACTCCACTTAAATCTCTTTTAGACACGTAAAGCTTAAAGAAGATGGAGATCTGAAATAAAGAGTTCAAAGAGGATCATGAAACGAGCGTTACACAGATATTTGATCCTTTTGATTTACTTATTATCCCAGTTCATGTGAAAGCTTTGATTATTTCGCCACCAGCGGTGACCTGACAGGTGACTTTTCTGTACTCGTAACCCTGACATCAGTGATAAATCATATTTTTAAAGCAAACACAAACAGAACAATTTAAAGCTAGGCTTTATATCCATGTCTATCATTGTGATTGTGATCAGTGGTGGAAGATGTTTTTGGATCCCTCACTTATCTAAAAGTACCAATGCATCAATAGAGAATAAAAAAAATCAATAACCTGCAAGTAAAAGTCCTTTGTTCAAAATATTATTCAAGTAAAAAATACAGAAGCATGTTCTCCTCGTGGCAGCGTGGGTTCTCTCCGGGTTCTCCAGCTTCCTCCCACAGTCCAAAGACTTGCAGCTTAGGTAAATTGGTGACTCAAAATTGCCCGTATAGGTGTCGATGTGAGCGTGAATGTCTGTCTGTCTGTACATGTCTGCCCTGTGATGGTCTGGCTACCTGTATGGGTGAACCCCTCCTTCACCCAATGTCAGCTGGGATCGGCTCCACCCTCACCCCCCCCCCCGCGACCCTGAACAGGATAAGCGGTTATAGATGATGAATGGAAGGACCGATTATCTCATTATATTGTTAATATGCATCAATGTGTATGTAACATCATATTGGTCGAAGTCATTTGACCTTTTATCAGCTAAATCTATAACAACGCATTGTAGTAAATTCATCCTGTTTTTCATATGAAGTTCTAACATGCAAAGTAACTAGTAGTAATCGCTGTCAAATGAATGTTTTAGAGTAAAGAGCACAATTGTGTAGTGTTGTAGTGTAGTTTCCCACTTTATACCATGTTTGGTAGTGTTTATACGAGTTTCATATGTAGTTTGATACCATACCATCTGGGCATACCTTATATATATATACACACACACACACACACACACACACAATTTCCACTTCGTTCTGACATTTTATAAAGTAGACAATGAATTAAATTACTTAAAAAGAAACTGATTATTCTATCATGAAAGTGATCATGAGCAGACATAGATATGATCTCAAAATCATTTAAATTCATCTTAGACACTGAATAAGAACTGCTGACGCCATTTGTTTTTGCATGACGACATTATGATGTTCACAAATATATATCTAAAGGTCTTGTGTATAGGATTTGGTGACGTCTAGTGGAAGGTTGCAGATCGTGTAGGAGAACGCCCTATAGCTAGAGTGTTTGGTTTGTCCGTTCTGGGCTACTGTAGCAACATGGCGGCCTGCTCCACGAAGAGGATCGGCGATGCATGCATACATCAACGGCTCATTCTAAGGTAACAAAAACACAATGATTGTCAGGTGATTATACACCAAAGAAAACATACTTATTAATATTATATTCCATTTATACCAATATATGCCCTTAAATGCTACATGCTCTTAATCAGTACCTCCTATTTCCATGGTTCTCGTGTGCTTTGTCACGTGCATGTAAACAGTGATGATGAGCGTAACGGTGTCACAAACAGACCGAGCGTATGGCGCCCGACACCTACAAATTGCTTTACTTTAGCTTCAAATTGTTTTACAGTCGCTCAAAGGGCCTCAAATTAGCACCAGCCACCTGACACATATTCCACACAGGTCGGCAGGCAGAGAATCACTGTGTCATCTGGTAAAGGTGTTTCTTCTTCACCCCCATACTGTCATGAGTGGGGCCAAATGGGGGCTTACATTAGTAAACCACCAAGACACCTTTTTTGTTGTTGAGAGATTAGAAACAGTCTGGTCTGAGAAGCCTCTTTCTTTCATTCTTTCTTTCTTTGATTCTCAGATGTTGTTCTTAGGTGAACTGCTCTCTGAACTCATGAAACCATGCATGGAAAGACATGGAAACTCTCCAGAAGTCTCTACATAAGGGTGTCACACTGAACCAGGCAGCTCCGAGGTGTTATTCAAAAAAAAGATGCATATGCACACAACAATTCCTGCAATCATTTAAAGGGGGAAACTACAAGTGTGAGAGGTTGTATTTTCTAGGGTGTAAGAAGACCCATCAAACCTACTTTTAGAAGCTTTTTGGGCACAAGAGTTGAGGTTACAGCTGTTAGTGCTAACGAACCTACACACAATTCTTCTCACAGCTGCCAAAAAAAAAGATGTGTTGTGTTCTGTAACACATGTGAGGCTCCAAAATCCTCATCAAACACGAGATGGACTGAGATATGAAAAGCGTTGAAAGATCTGTAATACTCCCATAAATAATAATAAAAAATAAAAAAAATCACATGTTTACATTCTTGTGTAAAAAGCTGAATTAACGTTTTGTTGTTTTTGTTTTTTTTATTCCTTTCACTGATTGGCCTTTGCTGATGAGACAGAAGAGGAAAACAGAGATCGTGTGCGTGCCTGTGTGGCTGTGATATCAATAGATGGCATGTGCGATTGCTTCTTGCGGGGCCCGGCCGCTGGGAACAATGTTCACAGAGCAAGTGAGGCGGGCAGGCAGCAAGCTGTGTGCGTGAGTGAGCGAGTGAGTGCGCGTGTGTGTGTGTGCGTGCGTGCGTGTGCGCGCGGCTGTGCAGAGTTTATTGAAAGAGTTCCTCTCTCCCTCCTCCCCCGTCCTCCCCTCCCCTCCCCTCCCCTCCAGCCCAGGCAGCAGCAGCCTGGGTGGTCCCCCTCTCTCTCCACTTTGGTGAGCTGTTGCTTAGCAGCTAATAATAGGCGATGTTTGCAAAGTAATTTGCCTCTTCCTTGGCCAATGGGAGCCGGAGCACTTTTCCATCAAACCTCCCTTTTCAGGATTTGCCGAGAGGCGAACTTCTCCAAATGTTACCGCTACGGGATCGGAGTTAGACTTGACACGGACGGCTCAGACTTAGGCTACCACTGCCACTACTACTACTACTACTACTACTACTATAGGCTACTACTACTACTGCTGCTCCCTCTCTGAGACGTCGTTTCACCAACTACCGGGACGAATGAAGACTGAGGGATCTTTACGGATTTCGGCGCATAATGTTGGGATGGAGTTTCGAGACTTGTTTGGCTCCTCCAGGGAAGACTAGAAGACGTCCCTCCAACTTGTCGCCGCCGGTGCTGGATGCGCTCCCCTTCTATGTTGGATTATTGTCGTTTCTACTGAACTCGCACCGATTCACACCGCTCAGCGCCCCCCGTTCGCCCTCTTTGGACTATGGCCTCGGATCGCGGGGTCCCAGGGGCCGGCGTCTATGGAGATTTACCCCCGAGTTATACGCGCTCCCAGCCGCCCGCGAACCCAGACGTGCTCCGGAGACCCAGCTACTGCCACGCTGCTTTCGCACTTAAACAGATCTCAAAGGTGATGCGACGCCCGCGGTGTAGCGTGGATTTATGTTTTTTAATATGGGGGTGCAGCTTTCCATTCAAAATGTGAACGAAACGTCTTCAAAGGCAGCTTTTCATTTAGCCTGTTATCTAATCGCGTGTGGGAATGTGTCGGGTGGGCTGAAAGCAGCAGCTCCCTGACCGGGATCCGGGGACCACCGGAGCTCCCCGAGGGAGACGACAGCGAAGCCCAGGAGTGGTTCATTTATACGGGTTATCAGTTACCGAACACAGAGTAGAGATTGTCACCAGAGGTTGGTACAGAAAACAGAAATAGTTTGTGTTTAATGGGACAAAACCCCGTTAGAAGGCTCAGCTCGCGTGACATTTTTGGGAACCCCCCTGGAATAAAGTGATAACAACTTAAGAGTTTCACGTTTTGGCAGCACGTTAACGTTGCTGGACACCAGTCTCTCTCTCTCTCTCTCTCTCTCTCTCTCTCTCTCTCTCTCTCTCTCGCTCTCTCATTCATTCATGTTCTTAATGCCAACCGGGAGGGAGAAGGAGAGGGAGTGGGTGAGGGTTTTGTTCCCGTCTCGCAGCCCGTGTTGTGCGTGCTTTTTTTTTTTGGCTTTGTGCAGGCAGCGGAGAGCGCACTGGCCCGCGGTCTGTTTGGAAATGTGGTGGGTCCTGTGAAGGAATTCACTGATTGAGTTTGATCTGACAAAGCATCTTTGGACCGCCCGGATGCTTGGACGTGTTTCAGCACTGCTGAGAGAAACCACAACACCAGTGCGATGTCTCTCCTGCAGCGGTGACATTTGTAGCACCGGGGGGACCGGCAGAGAGTCTGACAAATAGTTTAGAGGGGAGAGAAAAAAAAAACCCGATATATTGTAGATTACTGCAGGGAAATAGCTGTCAGCTTAAACTCTAGTATTAGTTTATACTGATGTAATAGTTAACCACCACAAGTCTCTTTTATAGCAGTACACGCATGATGACAACCTTGTACTGCTCTTGCAATAAAGACCAGATTATAAAGGTGCCTAATACAGAGTGACACCTTATTTCAGACAGTATTGTTGATTTTCTTAAACTGCAGCTATAATGTAAATTGGCACTATGTAGCTCCCATTAAGTCCTGGCTTTGTTCTGTATCGGTAAACATTGTGTTTTTAAGCTCTTTTTCATCGCAGCTTCACTGGACTCTGTCTTTTTAAACTATTAGGAATTAGTTTCCTTGAAAAGTTGCCATAATACAAATTGTTGCCTTCAACCGTGCAATTTAGATCACCTCAGATGTGGGGATCCTGACTGGTGTCTGCACCTGTGTTCAGGCGGTATAAACATGAGGTTTTAGCAGGAATCTGACAGCACACACTCTTCGGGGGTATATGACAGCACCGGCATCCAATCTGTGGCTACAGTGAGTTAGCACCTTCGCTTGTCATCGCGTTATACAAGGCTTCACCTTAAATTCCACAGAAAGACGCCTCTCTCTCTCTCTGTTTACTGATGCATGTGCAATCCAGTGTCTTGGATGCAAGTCGTCACTACGCTTCACATATTCTTCACACTTGTGACACAGATAGAGATTGCACGCTATATGCTGCCTTTGTGGACAGTTGTGCAATGATGCATTGTTCATGTGTGGCAACGCTGATGATAATTCTGTCCCTTTCCCTCCTGCTTCTTCGAATCCAGGGTAAGGCGGTGGGTCAGAAAGCCCCTCTGTGGATCCGGGCGAGGTTCCAGGCCCTCCTGTTCTCTCTGGGCTGCCACATCCAGAGGCACTGTGGGAAGGTCCTCTTTATTGGACTCTTAGTGTTCGGGGCTCTGTCTGTGGGACTCCGGGTCGCAGCCATCGAAACGGACATCGAGCAGCTGTGGGTGGAAGGTGAGTTTCAAGATATTTCCCTTCATCTTTTAAGCGGTGTTCTCGTGAAGGACTCTTGGTGTTGTTTGCTGTTTTGCTCACGCAAATACACCATCACTATATCCTTCAGGTGGCATCACCATGTGAGTTCAGTGCAGCAGGCTTTCGTGGCTGGATTTACTGACTTTCTGTTCCGAATATTCAGCTGGGAGACGTTTGTACGTTTTCATGAGCTTGTTTTTCTCCCACTGGGTTTAACATGGAGTTTGAATGACAATAGTGGCTGGTGGGAAGATGCAGGGTGGCCGTGTTAAGTGTCATCTCAGTGCCATGGGAGTGTTGAGTGACTGATAGACTGACTGTCTGCCTGAAATCCAGACTAAAGCAGCAAGGAATAAGATGTGTGTGAGCTGGTTTTAAGTTGTTTTTATGTTTGTCTGGATGTATAGAATTATCAACGCCATCATCTCTTCCATAGAAGGAATACAAGTACCAAAAAGCTTGTAGATAGAGTATTCATTCTTTTGCTTCTCTGTTTCCTGTGTGTTGTGGATGGGATTATACTGTACGTTTTACTCTGTGCTCAGTGCTGGTCGCTCATGTCTCACTAAGTCACAGTTTACCTGAGAAACCCAAACACAGGACTGCATTACAATAGTCCCTCTTCTGTCACACACACGCACACACACACACACTGACTCTCTGCCGCTTGTCCTTTCTGCGCGGCTGTGTTTATGACTCACAAACCTTTAGATTTGACACCGCTCTCTTAGAGCATTTTTAGATTTAGGTGATCGGTACATTTTTAGGGGTAGCGGCCGCTTTATTTGGTTTTTCACATTGGCCAAATTCCTTTTAAACCCCCAGGCTTTCAGTGCCGGGGCTGATCCCCGCAGCAGATGGACTGTGTGAATGGTTAGCCATCTTTGAGGGCTCTGACCCCTCCCCCTGTCACCTCCCTGTGTGGTCCCTAACTATTCTTGGATTCCATTCAACAAGAGGGAAGCAGGCAGGCAGGCAAGCAGGCACCACCTCCCTGAAACCCCCTCCCTCCCCCCCCTCCTCCTCCTCCTCCTCCTCACGAGAAGAAAAAATATAAGTGAATGCAGCTGAAGTTTACCCACCTGTTTTGCACACTCTAAAAGCGCTACAGCAGTTGGTGAATATAAACAGACTCTATGGGGTTTTTTAAGCCCACCATGTCACTAGAGGACGGGGACAGGCGGCTCCCACAGGAGCTGTGCGGAGGTGTTTGAGCAATCACACGCTGCTGCTGGCGTCAGGAGAAGTGCTTTGGAGACTGTGCGCTTCAAACGCACGGGAATTAAAAAGAGTTCCAGTATCAGGCACAATAATAACAAAACAAAAAAACAATCTCTGTAAATGTAGTTTCTGAGATAATTAGCGTGACGTTTCAAAAGCCTGAATTTGCAACAAAGGCAGGCAACAAGAGTTTGAATTTCCACAGTCTCTTTTTTTTCTTCTTCTTTGGTTTCTTTCTGGTTAGTGTAAAGCTTCAGGATTACCTCTTGAGCTAATTGGCAGATCCATCTCTTAAAGGAGATGTTTAGATGTTTGTGTGCCAGTTGTTTTGCTGCGGGATTGAGAGAGTTGAACAAGGGGGGCTGAAAAGGAATGCTGTGCCTTTAAGAGGCCGTGGCCATGTTTCTAAAGTTTCTGCCTGCCTTGTTTCCACCAATAGCCCATTGACAAAGCTGCTAGGGCCTCAATGGAGAGTAAAGTGGTTCGGTAACAAGGAGAGGTTAGTTCTCTCTCTCTCTCTCTCTCTCTCTCTCTCTCTCTCTCTCTCTCTCTCTTTCATACACACACAGAAACACAGAAACACTCTCACACACACACACACACACACACACACACACACACATGCCCCATTGCACATAACCAGAACGAAGCAGGAATGATATTCCCCCAAATGAGACAGCTGATGTCATATTAAGGGCCTTAGAACGTTTTGTACATTAGTTTAAGTTTGTGTTTTGTGTATATTTCTTAACTTAGGAGACATTTTTATTTCTCATGTGTTTAATCTTATGAGGCGGCTCTATCAGATTGCAGCATAAACACAGCCTCCCCACTTTGTCTCCTCATTTGTTCAGAATAAACTAGCTGTGAATTGACACCGTATGTGTTAACAATGCCAGTATGGTGTAAACTGTGTGTGTGTGTGTGTGTGTGTGTGTGTGTGTTTGTGTGTGTGTGTGTGTGAATGTGTTTGGGGCATATGCTTCCCATCATATATTCATACCAGAGCCTGCTCCCACGCATACATAAACACACACACTTGTCATCTTTGCCACCTTTGGTGTGTACAGCCTGCCTAGCCGTCTGTCTGCCCGCCTGAATTTCCTAACTGTCTCTCTGCTCGTGCTTTGTGTAAGTCTGTTTATATTTCTACCTGTCTGTCTGCCTGCCTGCTCTGTGAAGTCAGGCCACCAGGTCTTTTTTAATTGCTTCCTCCCCTCCTACAGGACCAAAACACTGTGAAGCGGAGCACAGCAGTGGAGTCTGTCTAGAGAGAGCAGACAGAATAGGGAGGTTGTGGGAAGTCAGTGTCTGTACCTGAGTTCCTCAGCAGACATATTTCCACCGTATGCGGCCTTTATTCGTTTCCTCTCTGTTTGCCTTCAGGATTCTTGTGCATTTGCGAGGGGGGGGGGCATGCAACAAAAGAGTAAAGGGGTTAATCATGCCTTCATTCCTCCCACCTGTGTAGGTGGGAATAAAAGCCACAGTATCAGGGTGTTTAGTCTGACAGGGGGATTATTTCTAGTTTACTGCTCGGTCACTCTGAGACAGACATCACCCATTGCATGTTTTTTTTTTGTAAAGTGTCTGAAGACGTGAGAGAGGAACACTACTACGGGATGTTTCCATCATTCCCTCAGGAACATATATCATCTAAAGGTGCCTGAATCTGTGTTTCATTTCTCGGTAAATGAAGCTCCGCATGCTGTAAACATGCATCACGCCGTCCGACACAGTTTATGCTTATACAGCCTGCCCACCTTTGAGCGTGTGAGAGTTGGTGTGAGCTGGGGGAAACGTGTCACCCAGTCTGTATTGTCCACAAGCAGAAAAGAGAGAGATCGTAAAAAAAAAAAAAGAGGTGCAGGAAGAAGAGAGGGATGAGAGCAGGCGTTTTGGGGGGGGTTGGGGCAGGAACAGGGCGGAAGTTTTACGGCTTGCTTTTTTTCTGCCCATGTTTTTGCTTGTCTCACTTGAACAAACAATCAAGTGTGAGAATGTCTCATGCATGTCTTTCTTCCACCATAAAGGACCGTGAGACTCTATGAGAGAGAGGTAGCTTGACATTTTTACTACTAAATGATTTATTTTTGCAACGCGTCACGATAATTGTTTCAAGTCTTCTATCAAACCTTTAAGACTTTTTCAGCTCAGATCATTTTTTGACAAAGGCCCATTTGAAAAGCTTGTTTTGGTGTTTGAGAGGATAGAAATGGCCTGCGTGTCAAAGTGGTGGTGTTTACTCTCACGTTAACTAAACTTATTCTTCTTGGCAGAGTTTGGGTGAGGCATGACAGACATGTACACAAACTCAAGCTGTCCAAATATGAGTGCAGCGAGACAGGGCCTATCCGGATAGCAGGCGCACCACATGTCCCATAAAGAGGCCATGTAGACAGAGGATAGGAAAAGGGGGAGGCAGAGACCGTACGCGGTCCCCATAACGTGAATGCATAGAGACTAGCTTAGCCAGCTATAGCAATGGAATCAGACCAAGAAGTGGATTGATTAAAAAGCGAGAGAGAAGACGTCTGAGTTTGCGTAAATGAGCGAATGCACGCGTGGGCATTTCGGGTGTTTGGAGCGGTTTCTCTAAACAAACCTCCGAGCGGCACAGCAGGTAAATGCTATAATTCATTGGAGCGCACACAGCGCCCCAGTTCAGACAGAGAAAGGGAGCTCTATGAGGCATTATTGGAGGTGAATAGTGCGCGGTGGTGCCCCAGCTAGATAAATAAACTCCCAGCGCTCAGGGCCCAGGACCTCACTGGTAGAGAGAACAAACAAGACCAGAGTCAACCTGGGTCACTTCTAAATGTTTATTTCACCCCCCCCCCCCTCCTCCCCGCCATCCTTCAATCCAAGTCCCCCTCGTTCCATCCCTTTTTTCA